GAGTTGGTTATTCAGCTTGGTAAACTTAACCCTTTAATACAATTATATAGGTTCCACTTCAAGTTTTTGTTCGAAGACAAATAGCTCGGTTGTTGGATCATTGTCTTCAATGTGCTAGACTTGTATACAATGAATTAGTAAAGGTATTATCTTTTTTTCTTTTTCTTTTTATTTTTTTATAATTCAGAATAAATAAATATTTGGGAAATATTTCAGATCACCCATAGTTGTCTAGTGCATGAACTACAATGGTTTCCTGTTCTTAAGATGCACATTAATGACATTGCTGGGAGTTTTTTGTTTGAAGGTCTTCAACCTTCACAAACAATGATTGGACACTTACTAGAAATGGAGGTATTAGACCAAACTACTTTGATTGCGATTTTTATACATACATGTTCCTGTTTATTAAACCAAAGTATTTATGGTGTCAGGTTACTTCAGTAAAAACTTGTAGTTGGTATTCACCATTGACTATTGATTGACTTACTTTTTTCTGTTTGATGCAGAGTCAACTGGTAGGGAAATTGTTAATTTTTCAAAGTAAAACAAAGGGTTGATTGAACGAGAGAAAAGAAAACACCAACACTCAATGGATAATAAGAATAAAAAAGATAAAGATATGAGGAAAAAAAGGTAAAACAAACTCGTATGTATGAATATGATTTGTATGATAATTAAATTTATAGTGTACGTATGTTTTGGTTTGCATGCAGTCTTTGTTTGGCAGCTTGGAAAAACTTTGTAGCACCTGATCGTCCATGCCACTCTTAGTAAAACAAATTTATAGTGTACTTCTTCCATTCATGTTAGTAGTTTCTCATTATGATGTGTTGTTTCTTGTGCATTTTTATTTTTAGGAGGTATTTTACTTTCTTTAATATTTAAAGTTACAGGACATGAGTATCGGCACATCATGGAACATTTAGGGTAGTTGTTGCTTTTCCTCTTGGTGATCCATCAATGAAGTGGCCAACATCATGTAATAACATTTTAGGGGAAGATGTAGGTATATGTTTTTTTTAATGAATAATGTAATCATATGTATGAATATGAAATACAGTTTGTTATTTGTATGACAATAAATTTTATGCAATGGATTGTATTTTTTGTATATGGTATTTTATTTTCTGTTATGAGACATTAAATGCAAATTTAATTTAAAAATTAATAAATGAATAAATATATTTTTTTAGAACATTTAAAATTATGATACGCAAAAATGTGTGTCATCTTCATTTATGACATGGCCTTTCTTGACAGGGGCTTCCTTGATACACATTGCGTGTCATAAACACGCGCGTCGTAAGGTTACGACACACAAACGTGTGTCGTCTTCATTTATGACAGGGCCTTCCTTGATACGCATTGTGTGTCATAACCGCGCGTCGTAAATGCGCGTCATAAATGCGCGTCGTAAATGCGCGTCGTCTATAGATGACGCGCAAAAGCGCGCCGTCTCTCTTTATGACAGGGCCTTCCTTGACGCGCATTTGCGCGTCGTCTGAGCGTTTTACGACGCGCAATGAGCGTCGTAAAAGGCCTTTTTTCTAGTAGTGGCAAACACCTTTGATTTCATTTTTGCAAGCATTAAACATTTCAATTCCATCTTTATTCCTGTTTGATTTGTTCTTAGCCATGTGTAGCTAAGAAACCCTAGTTTCTAGTTCTTATTCAAAACATGTTGATTGCTTGACTTTAAGCATATGATTTGATGTTTGATTTGTGATTATATTCTAGTGATTATGTTTTTGTTTAAACTAGAACCCTTAAATTTGATTTTATGTTTGATTGGCCACTTTCATGAATTAAATTTTTGTGCATTTAATTAACTTTTAGGGCACCTAATCGTTCTATTAAGTTAATAATTGGTACCAAACAATGAGTTTTCTTATTGTAAAACATATATCACATGTTTTCACACTTCCGAGCGTTTGAGAAGAAATAAACATTATTGGGAAGCTTGTACAAAACTTAATGCAGTTTTTCAATACAATCTAAGAGCGTGTTTAGGTTGAATTAGTAAAACTAGGTCTAGTCAAAGAGCGTGTTTTGGTTAGATAATTTGGCAAGCGAGAGGTGTTAGAGCGTGTTAATATCTTTCAGTACCAACATAGAATAGCAATCTTGAATTACATCAAATCATAATCAAGTTGAACAACAACATTGAGAACTAGAATTGGAAACACTTTTACAACTTGTTTAAAAATCTATTTCATTTTGTGCATGTTTTTAAAGTAGATTGTTATTTTATTATTTCACTTTTGCAAACAAATCCCCCTTCTTGTGATCAAAGTACCTTGCGCAAAGAGGTATAGACTTTTGTCTTGTGTCTCTGTGGTTCGACCCTACTTGCCTTGTACTACTTTTTAGTGCATTAAAGCAATGTATTTGGAGTCTGTTGTACCCCTATTATTTTTTGGGTTTGATACGCCTAACAAAGGCCCACTTTTTGTAGAAAGTCATTTTTGGCACTTAAAACCGAAAATTTACAATTAAGGCACCCTTTTTAGTAAAAATGAGACTTCGGGGCCTTTAAAACCAAAAGTTTACATTTAAGGGCTTGACTCGAGTAAAATAACATTTTTGGCTCAAACTTGTTTAAAATGACACTTAAGCCCACGAAAGTCCAAAAATTTACAAATTTAGCCCAAAAACCGTGAAAGCCCAATATAAGGCCCATTTGTGAAAGTTTACACTTTTAGCCCTTCTAAAATCATAAATACCATAAAGATCCATAGTTATTCAAATAAATATTTTCAAAACCGTAAGTTATGCATAATAACTTCAATTTTCAGCTATTTTGTTATTTTGTTATTTTTAGCCCTCTTATACGATTTTCTTAGTTTAAACAACCTTGAAATGTTTTAAGCCTTTCATTTGCATAATAAGTTGTCTCAAATGTTATGTTCTACAAAAATCATCATATTTTAGTATAATTTAGGGTTTATGTAGCCTATAACACATAATCAAAACATATAACATGAAAAATACACATAATCATGCATACACACATAGATCTATACAAAACAACTTGTATTCTTCCCCAAAACATAGTAAAAACCGAAATAGGGAGTATGAACTCACATTGGGTTGATGGATTCAATTTTGGAGGAGAGAGGGAGGTGTTTTCGGCCTTGGAGTGTTCCTTTGATGAGATTTTCGGCTTTAAGAGTTCTAAGAAGCATGAATCACGAAATGGAGTGCTCGTGACAATTAATCTAGTATAAAATGAAATAAATCAACTTGAATTTACATGATCTTACCTAAATATGAAGCTTGGAGTGATCTTCTTAAGACACACACAAAGTCATGATTTTTAAAAAGGTAAAAATGAGAGACTTCTTGAGAGTTTTAAAGAGATTTTAGTGTTTGAAATGTGGATGAAGTGAGGTGGGGATAATGCTTCTTGGCCGAGAATTTGAAGGAAGAGAGAAGAGAGGGGTTAGCGTGGTATTTTCATGGTGGTTAAGCCTTAATTTCCTAGATATATGGTGGACAATATGCATGGATTTCCATTAAATAATAATAAGGTGCCACACCCTAATTAATCCCATATTATCTTTTTTTTTTTCCTCTGTTAAAACCGATAATGTGAGAAAAAAATAAGAGAGAATAAAACATTTGGGCTAGTATTAAATATACATGAAATTATAAGGCCCAAATATGGAAGTTTTCGGCCCATTGGGCCTATATAAGAGTTTACGGCCTAAAATTGGTAAGGAAAGGGGTTTACGGCCCCATTAATGTTCAAGAGAGTTGTTCACGGCCCATAAAGGCGCATGAGAATGAAGTGGGTCATTTGAGGTCAAATAAGGCCCATAAAAGTGAAACGATACATTTTAGGCCCAACATGGCCCAAAAGGTTATAGTTTCATGAAAGTGGGTCCAATTAGACCCCAAATAACTAAGTTGTGAGTTTATTGGCCCATTAGGCCCAATAACTGATTTCTTGTCCGATAAGGGTTTGAACTAGGAACTTAGGGTTTCAAACCCACAGTTGAGTATATGAGATGTATTGAATTTGGTTTTGAACTTCACTAGTGAGTTTTGATTCAAATGATTGATTTTGAATGAGCATATTACATAATATCAACTTAGATTACAAATTATTCAAGAGTTGATTACATGTAGACATAATTTCCTAGCCAAAAATGCTAGTTGTAACAGGACTGGAATTACTCGTCGTTAATTATCAATCGCCCTAGACATGCCCTTTTCTATTTGAGCACTGATCACAAATTCACAATGAAATTAGATTTAGGGTTTGAGTATTTTTTTTTTTTTTTGAGTTTTTTGTGATTGTAGGTTTTAAAAAGGGTTTACATTGGTGTTATTTTCGATCATGGGAGTAGTGATGTATAGGAATTGAACTCTGGAAACCATAGCCATGAGAGAGAGAGAGAGAGAGAGAGAGAGAGAGAGAGAGAGAGAGAGAGAGAGAGAGATATGAAACAAAAATTACTAAAATAAATACTCTAAGGATATTACAATCATTTCAATGATCAAATCGCAATGAAACTAATTCAAAATGACCTAAAAAAAAAAATACCAAAATCTGAAAAAAACAATGCATTTTTACGGTTTTAATAAGAGTAAATTACACGAATAGTCCCTATGGTTTGGGGTAATCTACATATTTGGTTATTAACTTATTTTTTTTAACTCGGAAGGTCTTTATAGTTTGTTTTTGTTACACGATTAGTTCCTGTTACCTAAAATTACTATTTTGCCCTTGATTCTTTAATTTATTTAAATAAGATGAGGTTGGTAAGGTAAGGTAAGGTGAGGTGAGATGAAAGTGAGGTTGGGATATGTTTATTTAAATAAATTAAAAAAATTAAAGACAAAAATATTTAAGGTAAGACAAAGAGCAGACGCGCAACAAAAATAAATTATAGATGCATTTCAAATTAATAAAATAAGTTAGGAACCAAATATTACGGGATCATTCGTTAACTTACACTTTTAATAATTTCGAAATTAGAAAACCTATTCCGAAGTTAGAAAACCTAAAACCGTTAATGTTGTTGACTCAAAATTCAGTAAACTCCGCGCCGTTTTCCCTCCACGGGCATGGATAAGATTATGACCAACTACTTCTAACGGAGAATAGCAATCCAACCTCCATTCGTCCATGGAGCTCTGCAATTTATTCTTTATCACCTCTCCCATGAAACTAAAACACTCGTATCCCAATCTCAAAACCCAAGCCCATTCAGTTAAATGCTTGGCGGATACGAATCGACGACTCAAGCTCGCGGAGTCACTCCAGTACGAGACGTTCAGGATTCTCGAATGGCCGTCGGTGTGTAACCAGGTTTCCTCCTTCACTGCCACCTCCATGGGAACTTCGGCTGCCCGAGATGGTCTAGTTCCTATAGGAAGGAGTCCAGAGGAGAGCAGGAGGCTCCTGAATCAGACGTCCGCTGCATTTGCGCTTCCTTTTCCGCTGGATTTCTCTGGAATTGAAGATGTTTCGGATATCATTGAGTCTTCTGTCGCTCGTCAGTTGCTTTCCATAAGAGAGATTTCTGCGGTAAAACGGACTTTGCGATCGGCTAGGGATCTGTTTGAACAGTTGAAGAAGATTTCTCTCAAATCGGAAAGGTATACTATACACCATTAAAACTTGATTCTATTTTGATTTTATAACGTTTGCAACTCATAACAGTAGGTCGGTTTTTGCTTTCAATTCTGTCACCTCTTTGAAATCCTTATACTTTTAACCGAATTCAATATAAGATTTAAACTAGCATCTCCGTTCAATTCTTCTAGCGCATTTGATTCCCGATCCAAGTCGTTGTTTGCATTAGCCCTAAATTACAAAGAGAATCGTAAAATACAAATCGTTGAGTGTGGTGCCTTCTCACATTCTATTTCAGATAGAACTAGTTTCATTGGATATCATCTTCATTGCATTAACCAGGTACTATCCTCTGCTTGAAATTCTTCAGAATTGCAATTTTTTAACGGATCTGGAGCAGAAAATAGAGTACTGTATAGACTCCAAATTCTCAACCATACTCGACAGAGCCAGTGAAGATCTAGAGATCATTAGGTCAGAAAGAAAAAGCAACATGGAAGATCTGGACTCTCTGTTGAAAGACATATCAACTAAGATTTTTCTAGCCGGAGGTATTGACAAACCATTGGTAACCAAACGTAGGTCAAGAATGTGTGTTGGCATCAGAGCTTCTCATAAATCATTACTTCCAAATGGTGTCGTTTTGGATGTTAGCAGCTCTGGAGCAACATATTTCATGGAACCCAAAGAGGCTGTAGACTTGAACAACATGGAAGTAAGGCTTTCAAATGCTGAGCGGGTTGAAGAACAAGCCATATTAGGGTTGCTCACATCTGAAATTTCACAATCAGAGTCTGAGATTAACTACTTGTTAGATAGAGTTCTAGAGGTCGATTTTGCAATTGCAAGAGCTGCTCATGCTCGATGGATCAATGGAGTATGTCCACTCATATGTGGTTCTGGTTCTGTAGACATTGAAGGTATACGCCATCCTTTGCTTCTTGAAGCCTCTCTGAAACAAGGAGCGATGAGTCATCAATCTTTTGATTCATTCCCATTTCCTGTTCCTATTGACATCAAAATCAGAGATGAAACAAGAGTGGTTGTGATCTCAGGGCCTAACACTGGAGGAAAAACTGCTTCCATGAAAACATTAGGATTGGCATCTATTATGCTAAAGGCTGGCATGTATTTACCTGCTACAAATCAACCAACCCTTCCATGGTTTGATCTTATTTTAGCAGATATTGGAGATCACCAGGTGATAAATACACTAATACTCTACACTTGTAGTTAAAAAGAAGCAACATTCTGACATTCTCATTCTTATAATTATAGTCTCTGGAACAAAGCCTCTCAACTTTCAGTGGCCACCTGTCACGAATTTGCAAGATGTTGGAAGTGACCTCAAAACAATCACTCATTCTTATCGATGAAATTGGAAGTGGAACTGATCCATCAGAAGGGGTGGCACTTTCCACCAGCATGTTAGAGTATGTTAAAGATAGAGTCAACTTAGCAGTAACAACTACACATTATGCAGATTTATCTCTTTTAAAGGAAAACAATTCCCAATATGAGAATGCAGCAATGGAGTTTTCTTTAGAGACTTTACAACCCACGTACAAAATACTTTGGGGAAGCACAGGCGAGTCAAACGCGTTGACCATTGCTAAATCAATAGGGTTTGATGAAAAAATAGTTGAACGAGCACAAACATGGGTGAAAAGATTGATGCCTGATAAAGCTGAGAAGCGAAAAGGTTTGCTTTATCAGTCGTTAATGGAAGAAAAAAATAGATTAGAAATTCAGGCTAACAAAGCTGCAGATATATATTCTAATACCATGACTCTGTATAATGAGGTACGCTTTCTTTGTTTGATATAGTGAACTCTTTTCTGTACTTTACACTCTGTTTTTTCATTGTAAAGATAAGGGATGAGGCAGATGATCTTGTGGGACGTGAGGCTGCTCTTAAGGCGAAGGAAACTCAAAAAATCCAAAAGGAAATAGCAACAGTGAAATCTCAGTTGGAGAAAATAGTGGAGGATTTTGAAGCTCGAATTAGAAGTGCAAGTATTGATCAACTTAATACGCTTCTTAAGGAATCCGAATCTGCCATTTCATCAATTGTTGAATGTCACAAGAATGCTGAAGAGTCATCTGTCATAAAAACCGATAGGTCTACTCTTAAAGTAAAGCTTGGAGATCAAGTAATTGTGACCGGATTAGGAAACAAACAGGCAACCATAGTCGAGCCACCTGGCACAACCGATGGCACTGCCCTTGTTCAATATGGAAAAATTAGGGTTCGTGTGAATCTAAACACCATAACACCTCTTCCTAACGCCGATATCATTCAGATTGCAAATTCAAAATCAAACGTAAAAAAACAGGTAACAAGGGGAATTGCATTTTTTTAATTAAATAACTAATTTGATCGAGAAGTATATATGTGTGTGTGTGTGTAGGGAGGGACACGGAGGATTAAAAGCCTTAAGAATTTATCAGAGGGAAGCAATAGCGAAACGGTGTCGTATGGACCAGTGTTGCAGACATCAAAAAACACGGTTGATTTACGTGGTATGCGAGTGGAGGAAGCGTCACACAATCTTAATTTGGCGATTAATATAACCGGGTCTAACTCGGTTTTGTTTGTAATCCATGGGATGGGTACGGGTGTTGTGAAGGAATGCGCGCTCCAAATATTAAAAAAACATCCGCGGGTTGTCAAGTTTGAACAGGATGGTCCGACTAATTATGGCTGTACAGTTGCTTACATCAAATGAATATATATGCGGTATGGATAACATTTCTTTGGGTGATGTGAATATAATGTCATTTAAGAATTTGCTTTTTTATTTAGGAAAAATACAGAATCGTATTGATTTGGCCATCTAATTATTTTTGTATTTAAATCGTAGGAAAAAGGATACTTTGTAAATGACCAAAAATTTATAATGGTTGACTAAATTGAAAATTAGTGTAAGTGTGCTTAAAAAATTTACATCATAGTCATACTTTTGTGACTTGATTTGGTCTCCGAAAGTAGACAAAAGAAGCAAAATAAATGCGACATACCTAATACTTTTTATTTATAGGAAGATGATAAATTGAGTAAAGACAGAAAATACAATAGTCAGTGATATCATAAAAAAGAAAAGGTTTTTAGGGTGATGAGGTTGGAGCCATGTCTTCGGGATCGGTCCTTCTCATGGTGGGATCCATGGCCATGGGTGGAAAGTTGATGGGGCTCATAGTGTACTGCATCGCATATCCATTTGAACAATGACACTGTACACCTCTACCTGTACCTGTAAAATAATCATTTAATAAGCTGTGAGACTGAATGCCACGTGGATCAACAATCAGTTATTTAGTACATGTCTTAGTCTGTTTATATATAATTTTGTACATAAATAGAGTTAACGTGGATTTTAGTTATTTGATTGTAGAATTTATATAGATAGATAGAGTAGCATAAGTAAGCATCACCTGATTTGGCATTTGATCCACCACCATAGCCACCTCCTTCCCCCCATGAGGACACCTCCGGCACAAAAGCCCCAAACGGGAATGCCGGAAACGGGTTAATCTTATGAAACCCAAAGGTGGCACCGCCACTACCGTGGCCTCCTCCATAGATTCCTCCTCCACCTTCCTCCCAACCAGGGGTGGTCGCTTGAGCCTGGCGGCCGTCGCAGCCGCTAGCCTGGGCACCATTTCCATCATCCATCCGTAAGCTTTCATCTTCACCGCTACCGTCCATCTGGAGCTTACGTAATCTGGCAGGTTTAGGTGGCTTTTCTTCATGATCCAAATCAGCTACTTTAGTAGGCTTGACCATGTGAGCCATAGCTAGGGTTGAGCCGAGGAGGGCTAAGATGGCTAAGCAGACCCATTGTCTAGTAGATGTAGATGTTGCCATTGTTATTATGACTCGATCACTGAGTCCTTTGGGCGTGGGAAGTTATTAATATTGGGGTTTTATGTGGTGAAGATATGGGCTTTTTGTTTGTGTTGTTTTGTGTGAGCAAATAAAGGTTTATAATAGTTGAAGGTGGTGCAAGTAACAAAACAAATCACATGAGTATTTCGTTTCTCTCCTTGATGTTTGGTGCATGAAAACCATATGGGATTTCATGTAAATAATGCATTTATAAACTTCACCTTAAACTACAGAAACCATCCCTATACGTACGCTAAATCTACAGTTTCAGTCCCTTGACTCCCGTTTCGAACTTTCACAAACTATGGATTGGCTTACACTTTACCTTCATACTAACGTAGTCATTAGTATTGTATCTATTGAGAAACGGTTGAGACGTGACACCTTTCAAGGGGCATAATCGTCATGTAATCATTACTCCTTTTTCAAAACTCTACGACAACTTATATCTACAACATGAAAAATCGTTCATACCAAGTTACTATTGGAACCGGTTTTGTCCATTGTGGATGAAGCAAGAGTTCGTGTTTCTGATAAACAATATATGAAACCTTATACTTTGGATTAGGAAAATTTAGATTTGTTATAAGTTATAGTTGTAATTAACTTGGAATTTCTATTAAACTTCCAAAAATGATCTTCAATGTTGTAATTGTACATGTATATGAGATTAGGTCATTATGATGTAGAACATATTGAGACCTTAAACAATAAAAAACATTATCCTTTATGGATAGGGAAAATGACTTAAAAGCCCAACGAAGTTTCCAAACCGTTTAAAAAACCCCAATAATGTTTTGTCTGTTCAAAAAAACCCAACAAACTTAACACTTTATCTAAAACGCCCAACTAAGTTACACTTTCTTGAAAGTTAAATAAGAGAAACAGATGACGTGGCTTATTACCGTATCGGAAAAATGACTTGTTAGACCAACAAAGTTTCCAAAACGTTTAAAAAACTCCAATCATGTTTTGACTGTTAAAAAAAAAAAACCCAACGAACTTAAACAAAACAAAATTGGAATTTTCTGAACGGTTTGAAACTTTGTTGGATTTTTTAGACAAAAGGTTAAGTTCGTTGAGTTTTTTTGAACAGATAAAACATGATTGAAGGTTTTTGAATGGTTTGGAACTTCGTTGGGCTTTTAAGTCATTTTCCCTTATGGATAAGCGAGAGTCCGACAAAAGGTGTGCCAAGATCTCCAACTTAAAACATACACAACTTTTGATCCGTTGGAAGTTGCGATGTTCATCTTATATGCACCGAAAGCTCTCAAATGGCTGGAGCTCATGAAAAATTGACATGGATGGTTTGCATCAACCGATGGAGCCAATCTCTTCATTTTTATCACCAATTTTCGAATTTCCCTCAATTTTGTTACATTTTACATTTCATCTCTATTCAATTCTAATTCTAAATCAAGTGAAATCCATGAATTCTATCAATCAAGAGATATCAAATTTAATTTTGCAGACATTGTCAAATCCCATTACCAACCTTTAAATTCGGTTGGTCGGACGATAAAGCATTTTTCGACGTAGCTTGCATGGTGATTATTTGCATTATTTATATACTTTATGAGATTTTATGGGTAACTATTGTTTATGGGATATAAGGGAGGAGGTGGTGGCTGTGTGACGGTGGCAATGGTGGTTGTGGAGGTGGTAGAGAAAAGGGAGGTGGTGGCATTTCATATTCATATATAAATATTACTTTTACTGTCGCTTTCGCTTGTTATGCTGAAGGGCTTAAATAGCAATGAAAAAATATGATTAGATTCATTCTTTTGTTCTCAATGATGGATAAGTTCATTTAGATTTTAGACACATATGGAATAATTTGAACAAATTGTTCTACTAAGGGAACTTACTGAAATTGATATTTTTTTGCGCATGTACGGTAATACATATTTTCTATAATGTCACGTCTATTATAATTTAACTAAATTATCCTATAAAAGTGTGGTTAAAAATAACTTCTATTGTGTATATGGTTTAACAAAATTAATAAATGTTCGTATATAATTATTCATATGACCTTTGCCCGGCCCAGACGTCTATTATTTTATTTTTTTTTTTATATTTTACGTGTCGATTATAATTTAGTTAAATTCATCCAAAAAAACTTCAAGCAACCTCTATTGTGTATATCGGCTTAACAAAATTAATAGATGTTTGTACTGAGTTATTCATGTGAACTTTGCTTAGCCCAAACACCTTTTAATTTTTTATATTGTCGTGTCTATTATAATTTAATTAAATTAATCCAAAAAATGATGTTAAAATAACCTCTATTGCGTATAAGGGTGTTACACCACCTTAGTGTGATAATGAAGCAACACATAATATGACAAATAGTCCGTTTTTTTCATGAGCGAACTAAACATGTGAAAAAAGATTATTATTTTTTCCACGAAAGAGTTTAGTCTCAAGACAAAGAACCCCAATATATCATCGTTGCTGATATTTTCACCAAATTGCTCGAGGTTGAGCACTTCCATTATTTGCTATACAAGTTGGATGTTTGGAATCTCCAACGTTCCAATTTAAGGGGGGTGAAGAATTCACATTATATTTATCTTATCTAGTTTGTGTGATTATCCTTTTCTTTTAGAATAAGTTTCTTTTGATGATTTTAGCAAGATTCTTATATTTGTATTTATATCTCTTTGTTGGCGTTGAATGAAAATATCAAACTGTTCTGATTCTTAAACACATCTCTAAATTCTTTAGTATATAGTTCATTATCCGCTATCAGCTACCCGCTACCTGCTAAAACCTACCAGCTAGCTTGGCCGAACATGCCTTAAATCTATATCTTTTATGTTTAAATAAAGTACATAAGATAACTATTTAAGGAAACATAATATATCCTGATAAACACAATGAGATAAATACAAAAATATGTAATTATCTAACCACAACTCTTACCGAGGGAACTCTAGTCGTCGTCGAGGAGGAGGCTGAAGCAGTTCTCACCCCCGACAACAGGCTGCTCCGTTCAACGATGCTTACTCATCTCGCAACGCCCAATATGGGTGGGTATACATTCTGCCGCCTGCCTCTGATCATCACTTGTGGAATGTATCTGGTCAAACCTATAACCATGGGCTAATTATCATTTGTTCCCTCAATAGGCTTCTAATAACAACCCATTTTGGGGTAGGCCCACATCGAGCAGTTCAGGTCTCCTTGGAAGCAAGCCATCATCACCATCGTCAACTATTCTACAACCCCATGTGCAATATTCTAGATCAAATCAACCTCCTTTGGCATGGCTTGTAGTGATCAATCCACTTCATTACCAAATTTACTCGACACTATGTCTTTAAAAGAACCGGGAAATGGTGGATGGGTCATGGATATTGGAGCAACGGACCATATTCACACCAATGCAAGTATTACTTAAATCCATTTTTGATAATCATTATTATCCTCGTTCTATTTATGTTGGTAATGGTTCTGCCTGTTGTGACATCGGGACATTCCATTTTTCCTGTTCCAAATTATCACACTCTTCCTTTACAAAATGTCCTCATTATACCTAATATTATCAAAAATCTCATATATGTTTGCAAATTTACTACTCATAACAATTGCTCTTTGATTTTGATCCTTATGGTTTTACCATTCTTTATTATCAGACATGTGGTCCTCTCATCCGCGTGATAGCTCCGAGCCTCTTTATCCTATCACCAACTCCACAAGCCATGCATTCACCTCCACCTTTTCAACCACCTAGCACCAACGACTTGGTCATCCCGACGATCAAGTCTTGAAACATTTATTTTCTAGTAGTTCTATTTCTTGTCGCTTACCAAAAAATAATGTTATTTGTTAGGGTTGTCAACTTGGCAAACACACTAAACATTTATTTTATTTGACTGATTCTATTGTTTCTGAACCATTTGAGATTATTAATTATGATGTGTGTACATTTCTTATTTCTAGTAATGGTGGTTTACAATATTATGTTTTGTTTCTTGATCATTAAACTCACTATCTTTAGGTATATCCCATCAAACATATTCTTGATCATTAAACTCACTATCTTTAGGTATATCCCATCAAACATATATATGAAGTTTTTCAAAAATTCTTACACCTCTCAAATATAATAAAAAAACTCAATATGGTGGTATTATCAAACATCTTTAATGTGACAATGGGGAGAAAAAGGGGGGGGGGGGGGGATATAACAATAAACTCTTCCATGACCACCTTGCCTCATGTGGCTCTACCTTTTGTTTCTCGTGTCCGCACACCTCTCAATAAAATGGAAGATCTAAACGCATGATTCGTACTATCAATAACATGATGCAAACTTTTCTTTTTCACTCTCACTTTCCTCCTACCTTTTAGCTTAAGGCTCTTCACATGGCAGGCCACTTACTCAACCTCCTTCTATTTGTCTCTATCTTTAATGACACTCCTCACTATCATCTCTTCTGGCATCATCCCACTTATGTTCACCTACGTGTTTTTGGCTGCCTTTGCTTCCCTCATCTTCACACCACTCATAAATTCCAACTTCGTTCCACCCCATGCATTTCTCTTGACCACCCTACTCACTATCGGGGATTCCGCTGTTTTGATATCTCCACTCAAAAGATCATTATATCTCGACATGTTACATTTAATGAGTCTTTCTTTCCGTATAGCTCGATCACCCCTACCGATCCTCCTTTTTATGATTTCTTATCTGACTCGGATACATCTCCTAACCTTTATCAAATTCTTCATCCTTCCATACCTACAACCGAACCACCCACACCTCGAAATACTATAGAGTCCGAACCAACTTCTCTTAACGAGGATCATCCCCGTCTCCTCATCCTCCTCTCACTCATTACATGCACACTCGATCTCGAAGTGAAACTGTAAAACCCATTGACAGTCTAAACCTCCATTCTACCTCTATATCATTTCTCTCGAGGCCACACATATAGGCTTTGAAAGATCCAAATTGGCATAAATCCATGATTGAGGAATATAATGCTCTTATTACTAATGGTACTTGGGTTCTTGTACCACGTCTTTCAGGCGTTAACGTGGTGCGTTACATGTGGTTATTTAAATAGAAGTTCAATGCTGACGGTTCATTATCACGCTATAAAGCAAGTCTTGTGGCAAACAATCAAGGTCAACAATAGGGGATTGATTGTGATGATAC